GAAATAAAATTACAAAGATTACTATCTATCTATCGCTATATTCTAATAATTAGACACATTTTTCTCCGATAACCTTCTTTGGGAATTTAAGAGTGGGTAAACTAACACTCTGAACAAAGAAACCTAATCCACCGGTTAATGCGGTTTCAATGTGTGGTTGTTTGGGATTATCACAACCAGATTCCGATCCAACAGTGATATCAGCACCCAAAGTAGTGACAACTTGGAATCCAGTTTTAGCTTGTAATAATCCATTCATGATATCAACACTCAGAGCGATTTGTGGTTTTAATGAACCATAGATTCCGGTTGATACTGTGACACCGACTGAAGGATCTTTTGATTTTGTTTGTGCCTCGAATCCGAATTGCTGAAAGTTTGGATCCTTGTTGTCGAGCAAAGAACCACTCATGTGGAAATTTGGGTATGAAATTGATCCACCGGTGTAAACAGTTCCCGTGACAGCAGTTGATACTTGAGCGGAAGCGGCCAATATTAAAGATGGCCCAATATTAAATACATTTGGAATGCCCAACGGGCTCAATGGAAGTTCAAAGAGTTGGATATCAGGAGTACTGGGAGCAACACCAATTTGACCATTGACTGATAGATCGAAATTGAAATTCAAATTACCATCCATTGAAATTGTTGCATTTGTAATTTTAGGATTCGGTAAAGTCTCTCCTTCAATATGTAAAGAAATTGTCGCTTCTCCATTTACATAACAATTAGCACAAAGTAAAGATTCTCCTGTTCCTGTTCCATTGCTTGCAATCGTTTGTCCCGCTTTAATTAATGGAATATTTGGATGCGATGATTTTCCCGTTTTTGGATCATACATCATATTAAGATCAATTTTATTTGACTTATCCACATTCAAGTCACGACGATTATTTCTACGATGACGACGACGACGACTGTTCTTTTTCTCATTTGTCGATGTCGATGTAGTAGGTTTTTCCCATGATAAATCGAATGCAAATGTTTTTGTCCATTTTAATATGTCACATGGTTTTGTTGTAAAGTGCACTAACAATTTGTCTGCTTCAATTGTTTTATTACTAGCCATGAAGAATTGCGTCGTCTTTTTACCAAAGCATTCCCATTCATGACTAATTAATAGCATCAAATCTCCTTCTGGCCAAGTATCCACCATTTTAATGTAATCATCATCTTTTAAGGTAAGAGTGATGAGGTCATCACCCTGTTTATTATCAGTACATTTAATATCGTTCACTACTCCAGTTAGATCAGGATTTAACGAAGGAATTTTTGTGTCGAATGCAATATCAACTCGATGCCTTGATTCTTTTCCTTTTTGGTAATACAGGCCATGAAGTTGATTTGATGGTTTAAATACTCGACCAACTTTAGCTGTTGGCGGTGGAATATCGGGTGTAAATGATGAAAATGAATCATCGGCCAATGTTGTGGTGATTAATGTTGTTGATGCGCTAAAAATAGCACAAATTGAAATCAAATATATATCTGTTATTTTCATAGTTGTGTGTTATATATGTATGTATGTATGTATGTATGTATGTATATACAATGCTAATTAGAGAAACGTCACAGACGTTGGGTGGGGGTGGGGGCGGTGGTGGATAGGAGAAGATAAAGAAAGTAAAATGAACGATATAAAATAAAGCGTAAACGCTTTTTCAACAGAAAAGAACAAAATTT